CCTATTTGTTTACAGGAAGTCATCACTCAGATTTAGGCAAAATCAACCCACCCAAGCCAAGATTTGGGCTGCTTTTCCTATAGAAACATGTCAGAAATGCAGGCAGGTACCCCTATGTAGAGTTAGTCTCAAAGCAACAGTTAAGATACCTACCTGCATTTATGGAGTTATTCCACAGTAAGAGCATATCACTAAGCTGTAGAAATGCTATCCAACTGATTGGGAATATATAGTTAACACAAAGATGTAAAAGTATATGCATGCTACCAGAAGTACAGCTTTCCTGCAGCACAGCCTTTGCTTAGGTTGCATATTGCAGGAAGAGATTTTATTAGAGCTCATTAAACTTTAAAGCCTTAATGGTATCTTCTGGATTGCCTGATCGGTATAAAAAGGAGATCCTGTCAAACCAGGAGTGCAACAAGCAAAAGGCAGCCTGTGCTGCAATGCTTGCGGCTTGGGCTGTGGGACATCTGCAGGCTTAGCATGACATCGTCTGGTGAGAGGTGGAATGGGGCCTCCAGTGCAAGGCTGAGCATCCCTGGGCTGGCAGCAGCTGAGCAGAGAAGTGGAAATGATCACACAGCTGTGGGACAGGGCTGCTGGCTGGGAAACAATAGCAAGTCCCTGCCAGTGCAAAACAGTGACTCCTGAATGAATGCTCTGTGTTGACTTAAACCTTTGCATTTGGAAGCCAAGAATTCAGCTGTAAAAGTGGTGTATTTTAGGGGCACCAGGGATGGAATTAGCAAAAGTCCTTAAAGGTGCAGTTGCGTATCTCAAACTCAGTCTCCTCAGATGCTGAAGGTCTAAAAACACTTCATACTCTGTCTCTCTGAGCTGAACACCCATAACAGTAATCTGAAGCCGTGCATGCTGCTATCCAGGTCAGGGAGACAGCACAAGAGCTCATCTGCCTGACTCACCAGCTTCCTTGCCAAGTGAGCATGAAATTTTCATGACACTGCAAAGTAGCTGAGCCACAGTCTCTTAAATGTCACTGCTGAGAGATGTTTTACTTAGGAAGCACCCTGAAAAGCTGGTTTGCTTTTAGGATTCAGGATTTTTATTTTTTTTCACATTGGCAGTGCTGCTGGTTTGGGGAAAATATATTGGTTGAGTAGGGAAAAAAAAAGTCTCTACAAAATCTTAAGTGGGATGACAGCACCTACCAGCTCTGTATCAAAACTCCTAGGACAAATCATAGCAAGATTATGCATGATTGTGATGTTAAGCTTGTCCATGGGCCATGGAAGCAGTTTCCAGTCTTTGAGATGGAGTCCCTACCAGCCCACACTGGTACAAGCAGTGCCAATTGCTCAGATGGAGCACTGCTCTCCAGGGAGTGCTGAACATCTGTCCAAAAGCTTTTTAATGGCAGCTTAAAGTGGCCTCCTACAGTCATTCACAACTTTGCTGTTTTTTACATTTTTTTTTTCCCCCATTAAGTTTGCATTCATTATATTTCAGTAGTCACCAAAATGTTAATGAAAGGTATGAACAGCCCAAGCAATGATCATTTTCAATGCATCAGAGGAGAGCATCAAATGTCTTCCAAGTCTAAATGCTGGCAGTGCTTGTCACAACTTTTTCTTCTCATTAGCTCAGATGATAACCATGGAGATATGTGAAATCTTTCTCTGTGTCACGCTTTTCAAGGTGTAATACTCACAAGTGACCCCTGTCTCAGACATCTTCCTTGACAGAATGGGGCAGTTTCCAAGACTGAGGGGATCTACAACTCTGGGGATTGGAGAAAGGGCAAAGATTGAAGCCTCATGCTTATGCTATTTCAACCAGCAGGACAGGTTAGACTCTAAAAACCAAATGGTGCTCTGCCTTTCATAGCCAATTTCATAGAGGAATTCCTTGTTATTCCTGTTATGGCAGTAGCACTCAAACCATGTTACGAAATGTCCACAGTGCTCAACAGGGACTGTGTGCTCTGCAGAACCTGAACCATCATCTCTTGTGAGTTCTCATTTCCCCACTCCCTTGGCCAGTGGTGGGTGGGACAGTTTTCCTCCTGTCCTACAGAGATGGTTTCTTCTGGACATGGCATAGCAGGAGATTTGTCAAAGGACATATCTTCAGGATGACATTCTATCTGCAGGACCATTATGTACGGTCCTAAATTCCTTTGGTTTGAGACATTCATAGCAAAAGTCATCTATCAGCTAGATGATAAATGATCTAATTGATCTTTCAAGTAGAAGATACTTCAAAACCATTTATTGTGAGCTGAGTCTTGCTTTTAGCACTCAGTGGGGCACAAACTAGGTTTCTTTGCTATTCAGATGCGCTATATCTTAGTCACATTGTTTTTTTTCCAACATGGAAGCAACTAAATTCCTTCCATGCAAATAAGAGGTTCGAGGTACAGCCTGCAAAGCCCAGACATGTCTGAATTTGCCTCTCTCAAACTCTTTGAGAATTTTCTCTACCCTTGAGTAACTCAAATAGCTTTACAAAGAATGGCCTAAAAACAAAAATAATAACTAAAAAAGAAAAAGAAAGAAAGAAGAAGCAGCTCTCCCTGAGCGTGCGTGATTCGAAAGGTTCCCATCAGATCAGCAGACTGTGACGGCCTTTCTGTGCCACCTCTGAGTCCTCTGCTTGAGGAGGCACGAGCTCCCTTCAGCCATGCAGGAGCAAGAATAGCTCTGCACAAGTAACAAGCATTTGGAGATGCTTATCGAGTACAATGTGGGCGAAATGTAAATGAGCACCGCCTTGGTGCTCGCACACGGAGCATGCACAGGCTCCTCACCGCAGCTCCAGGGCCTCTTCATTAAATAGACAAGTAGAAAATTAAAAGCAGCTTGCTATCAGCAGCAGGGAGCTCTGTTGAGCTGCTTCTGGCCCAGTGTGAGACCTCCTTCCCTGGGGCCTCATGGGCTCGGCTGCACTTCTCAGCCATGGAAACCAAGGGGAGCACAGGCGTCTGCCCTAAGAAGGGCTGCCGTGGTTATCTACCATTCCAGGTTAAGAAGTAAAAATTGTCTTTTCTGTCACAAACAGGGCTGTGTGCCCTTTTCGGACCTGGTGACCCTGGCAGGCCAGACTGGTGCAGTCTCTCCACAATAAGTCATGGGGCCATGCCTGAGAACAGAGGGGCTGACACAGACCGATGATGGGTTCCCCTCTGACACGTGCTTTCCCAGTGACTTACTCTATTTCCCAGTCAGGCAGAAAAAAGCTAGAAAGCTTCATTTTCATTTTGAAACTCTCCTTGTGTGGTTCAAATTTTGAGGTCTGCAAAGACAGGACTTTCAGCACAGGAAATTTTCTGAGTCATTGGGAAGGCCACAGGGTGCCACCAAACCAAGTGGTGGAGGGAAAGCCCCTGCAGCTCTCTTGGCCATCACTAACGCTCTCCTTCCTCACTTCAGGCTGTGGAGGATTCAAGGGAGAGTGGGTGCAAAGAGTTTTGTGTTTCTTGTGGGAGCCATCTACACAATGTTCTTTGCTGTTGAGAAAAGTAGATATACACTGTCTTATGGAATCGTGTAATCGCAGAATTGTTTGAGTTGGAAGCGACTTTGAAGGCCATCCAGTTCAACCCCCTGCAGTGAGCAGGGACATCTACAGCTCCATCAGGTGCTCAGAGCCCCATCCAGCCTTACCTTGGATGTCTCTAGGGCTGAGGCATCCACCACCTCACTGGGCAACCTGTTCCAAACCTTTGTCTTGAAAAGGTCCTTCTTTAGTACAACATCCAGGTCCCTGCTTAGTTCCAAAATATGGGATCCCTAGGCTGAACAGCTGGCACACATGGGCAGCAGTTTGTGTGAAGTTTGTCTAAGGATGTGCAACTTTGTGATGCTGAACTCCCTAGGTTGTGGAGTTTTCATATCCATAAACTTCTCCAACCGCTTGCCAAACTCTGGGACTCTTCTCATTATTCTCACAGTAAAATCTCCTATTTACACCTTCTTTATCTCCACCAACCTTTACTATTCCTCTTCTCCTTTTGGACTGCCTACCCAAAATACCATCACTAAAGAAGTCCCTTTGCCTCCTCCACTTTTCCTGTCTTGTCTTTTTGCACCTTGTCTGATTGTAACACCTTCAAGTCTTACCCTGACTTCTTAGAAGAGATGCAGCAATGACTTCTCAGTCTTTAAGTTCCTACTGCTCCCAGGTGCCTCCCTCTAATTCCATCCAATGCAGTGTCCCTGCTGTCATGGGATTGCAGCAGCCACTTGCCTGGGTAGCCTTTTGCCTTCATGCAGATGATGACTGTATTCACAATTTTTACATTCTTCCACCCTGTACTGTCCTCTGCAACCAACAGAAAGGTCAGTCTCTCAATCTGGTCAAGTCCCAACTTCTCTTGACCATCCTGTTACAAAATGAGAGCCAGGACTTGGCATCCAGAGCTATGCTGTTGGCCACCACAGTGGGATGCTTGTTGGCTTATTGTATTTCTCCCTTTCTCAATTCCATGTTCAATCACTGTTAGTGGCGTGCCCTCCCTTTCCTCTTACCTTCTTGTAAGGCACTCTCAAAACCACAGCTTGTCTCACAAGCACCTTCCCTTGACCCAGATATTATAGCTGACACTTAATTTTTTATTACTGTAACAGTGATGTGACTCATGAGCATTTTAGAGTCAGTCTACTTGTAGGTATTCATGTGAATGCCTACAGATCAGCAAAATTCATCCTGAAAATTCCTAAAACTAGCTATTCTCACATGAGCATTCAGATCTTTTTTGTTCTCACACCTGGAACTGATAGGAAATAACAGCGTGAACGCAAAAAAGAGGTGGTGATTTTGAGTGCTAGCTTGATACATGAAGGCAAAGCAGAATGACTTGGGAATAAGCAGTAGGTAGCCAGCACATTAGGTATGAGGTAATCTGGTTTTGTTTTGCTTGTCTTTTATTCTTTAGGAAGAAGAGTTACATCAGGAATAGAAAAAGAAATGGCTGTCACATACCTACCTGTTTTCAGCAGAGCAAATACAGAGCTGCACTAGAGACAGTGACTGAGAAGGTGGCTGTCACACAACTTTGCATACAGACAGCAACTCAGCTGGACCAAGTGAGGACAAAAATGAGAACTTTTACTCATTTATATCAATGCTAGAAAGCTGATACATGCTGAGACAAATAAGAAGTTCCATTACTTGTGAAAGCATTTGATGCAATTGATGCCTCTGAGAGGGGGTGAAGTGACTTCCCCAATTTCAGTAATAAAATTGTTCATAAGGAAGGGCAGAGAGAGTAGTGGTTTTCTATATCATAACTATCAACTTGTGAGTTGCTGCTAAGTCAGGTTTATAAGAAGTTGTGTAGAAGAGGAAGAATATCTAGAGAAAAATCTGCTACAGATGTGAGGCAAGGAAAGAAGATCAAGAAGAATTATTCCTTAAACCCATAATTCATTGAATTCTTGTCCAGTTTGTGGAAATACAAATCCTGTATGCGTAGAGGGCTTCAGAGTGGGATGTATACCAAAGATGCATGCAGCCAATAGAAAAACAGCATTTAGGTGATGCAGGTGAAATTTCTAACAGAGCAGGTACTAAGTCCCTGGTGAGATCATTCATTATCATGACCTTAATTGCTGGATGGAAAGTTTGATGCCCTCCAAATATCAGCCACCGTGATTGTGACCTGACTGTTTGCTGCACTGGATGCTCTAATCACTCAAGGTTAAGAAGTTAAGTTCTCCAACTCAAGGAGAGTTATTATCCAGATTCACTAACAGAAAAAAATGTGGGCAGAAAAATATGAATGCAAGTTGAATCCTTTGATGAAGAGTTTATCACGTGGTCAAAAAATCAGGATTTCCAAGTGCACACAGAACATGCTGAAAATTTCATCCTGGTTCAGCAATGAGGTGAAGGAATAGATATGAAATAGAAAAACAATCCGTCACATGTAGAAGGGAGAAATGAGCCAATCAATATAAAGTAGAAGCAACTGAATGTAAGAAATGAGCCAGTGAAATTAAAACTATCCGGAAACAGAATGGAGCAAAGAAAGATTATATTTTAATGTCTATGAAGAAAGTTAAAGCTTTTGCAGGGATATCATTAGGAGGATGCAGTAAAATTAATAGTGACATTAATAAAAAAAAGAAGAAGAAGAGGAAAGAAGGAAGAAATGCTCATAATGTATCAATACTCCAAGAGTGTAAAGAGAATGAACTGTGCAAGTACAGGCAAACAGAAGTGACAGATGCACATACCTGTGAGCTAAGAACGGGAATGCAGAAAATGGTCATCAGCATCTTTTGAAGAACCAAACTATTCATTTACCAAACTGATTCCAACCTTTATGATACTGGACTAGAAGTGGTGGAATCTGTTTTCAAAGGCATTGTGTGCTGTTCCATGGAACAACCCAGTATCCTGTAAAACACTGAAGGTTTCCCATAAGTGCCATGAGGGCTGAAGAAGGGAGAAATTTCATAGAATCATTAAGGTTGGAAAAGATGTTTAAGATTGTTTAGTGCAATCCCAGCCCACCCCACCTGCCACTGACCACATCCCTCAGTGCCACATCTCCACGGTTCTTCCGTGCATCCTTCAGAACAATCTGATGAAGGGAATCCATGAGCTACCTGCAGCTCAGAGGCCAGAGCAAACAGCCACCCGTGCAAGGCTCAGGGTTTGCCCTGCTCTTCAGCCTTTTATTTGCTTTAGTCCTTTGTCATCACTGCTAAATCACCGTTCAGCCCTCTGTGACTGTGTTTGTGTGTGCAGGCTGATTGCACAAATATTTGCACACACAAAAAAGACTTGTTTCTTGCATCCTTTGCTAACAGTCCAGCATGGCCGTTAGCCTTTGGTGGGTGTGCGGGCAGCGGTTGTGCTTTGGGCCCCACTGCCAGGACTTGTTCTCTGTTAGATCTGGCACACCAGGGGACAAAAATAGCCCCAGCACCACGTCTGGGACTTCCAGCTGAGCACTGAGTTCCCCACTTGCTGGGTCAGTTCCCCAGCCACTTTCATTCTGATTTATAAATACATTTTCCATACACTTGGCCTCGCTTTGGATGGGAGAGTCACAAACCTCACCTTCTTACACTCCCCTATCCCTTCACCACACCTTTTCCAGAACAACCCAAAACCTCATAGGAACCAGAAGGCACAATTGGATACTCCCCCCTGGATGGGAGGACAAGAACTATAGTGGTAGGATAGCTACATGCTGAAGAAAAAGATGACAATGGGGGTTTAGCTGAAGGTTTCTCATTTCCTGAATCTCAGATGTTGAAAAGAATCACAGAACTGTAGGGGTTGGAAGGGACCTGTAGAGATCATTGAGTCCAACCCCACAAAAAGCATGATTTCTAAGGAAATTATGTGATTTAGATGTGGGCTCTGCAAAAGGTGGGTCCATGTTAGCTGTCTGTGTTTCTACTGAGAAAGCATTCTAAGGGTTATACCTGGAGTTCACTTGTGAAGAAAATACCAGAAAGTAAAAACTTCTTTACGTTAGGTGAGAAGGCTGAAATAGGTGTGTTCCTTTGGTATGAGACAGGTGTACTCCTTACATATGAATGGTGTGGAGTCAGACTCTTCTGCGGAATCCAGACACACTGACTATAATAAAGGAGGCCCTTCTCAGGGACAGTCTTTGATAACTGGGACAAAACACCACGGGAAGTGGCCAGATGCACCATGGACTGGTGGTCTTCATTCTTTATGTCTCCAAAGTGATGCCATGCAGTTCTCTGTGAGAGATGCTTTAACCCAGCAGGATGTCTTTGAACTCAACAAAGAGCAACAGAGCGAAGCAAGCAGCTTATGAGGCACAGAGACCACACTCCAAAGCCAGCATCAACATCCCCAGTCAAGGACCTGCCCCAGTTTTATGCCTGCTGGAGTTCTACAGAAGGTCTGGGGAGAAGGAGGTTGTTTGGGCTGGTTTTATCTTTTGAACCCTGTAATGATGCTACTCATGTCTAGTTGCACATGCTCTTTAAGGAGCTGGGATTCCCCCTGCTGATAAAAGATATGTAGCACTCTCACTTCCTTTAATCTCCATCAGACTATTACGTGAACATACCACCTACACAGCCAGATGAAAAGCACCAGTAGAAGGGAACTGTTGTTTTCCTTTTTTTTTCTTCTCAGAAAAAAACAAGGCTAAGCAGAAAAGCTCAGAGTTCAGCTTTGTAAGTACTGACTCCTCCTTTCCATCTGGAAATTCCCTGCAGTTTTACAATAAACAAACTCCTCCCAGATATGCCAAAATAAAGTGAACTGAAATTTAGCATCAGACACGGAATAGTCTTCTGGAAGTAGGGGCTATTTGTAAACTGGTGGTTACCAAAAAAGGCCAACAGCAGATTGAATCTGATTTTTCATTTTAAGCTACTATAAATTACTTATTGGATTAAGAAGTAATTCACCTTATAATGTATGCTGCCTTTCAAGTAATTTTGTGATTGAGCTCAGTAAGTTTCTTAGCTACAATAGGTTGCTTCTCTTCACTCTGAAATAATGGATTAGACTTTGAAGAGTAAATACCACCAAGCTGCTAGTATTTTTCAAAAGGATTTTGGCGTAATTCAATGATTATTTAATGTTCTGTTGTCCACTGATGTTTCTATTAAGGCCTCTCTCTAACAGGGAGGTAAAAGAAGGTGTCATGGGAGGAAATATTTTTGGTAGGCGTAAGTGCAAAAATTTTAGATCATCGTGACATAATGTGTGTGGATGTGGATGCTCCCTTCCTGGAGGCATTCAAAGCAACCTGCTCTAGTGGGAGGAAAAATTCTAGGTCAGGTATCCACTATACAATAGAGGTGGTGAGGCACTGGCACACATTGCCCAGAGAGGTGGTGGATGCTCCATCCCTGGAGACAGCCAAGGTCAGGCTGGATGTGGCTCTGAGCACCTGATGGAGCTGTGGGTGTCTCTGCTCACTGCAGGGGGGTTGGACCAGATGGCCTTTAAGGGTTCCTCCCAACTCAAATGATCCTATGATCCTATGCATTAAAATTTCAAAGTAACAAAATTAGCAGAAGCATCCCAGGCTGCCATTCCATCAAGCAGCAAATTAAGAAAGCAGATTTTTTGAAACTGCACTACCAGGTGCTAACAGCAATAGCCACTAGGGATCCCACTCTGTTCCCACAGAGGTCTACTTGCTAAAGAGGTCTACTTGCTAATGGCATTGCGATTAGTCACAAAGTCACAAAATGTTTTAAGCACATGATTCAGCCTGACCTAAGCTGGAGGCAGCTGAGCCAGAAGAGCAGATTTCTGCCACAGACTTTATGCCATCTCTGGCATTAGTCAGACCCTTGCTTGGGCCAATTCTTCTCACTGAAATGGCAGAAAATTGTCCTGTTATTTATTTTTTAAAGAGCTAAGCCTTCTCCTTTGGAGCAAGACAGACTGATGTCAGATTACTCTTCCTCCTGGAGCTGTGCCCACTAGCATTTAGGTGCTATGTTAAACTGAAGCCTGCAGCATCCTGGTGTCCCTCTATGTTAGTTTTACACATAGCCCATAGCAAGGGGCATCAGATCCATACAGCAGGGCATAAACTGCAACACTACAAATAATACTGGAAACCACAAGGATAGGTGTATGTCTCACTAAGTCTGCCAGGAAGCAGGCTGAGACCACAAATATCAGCTTACACATAAAGTGAAAGGTTGATAACAGAAATCACACATGGTGGGGAAACTGGAGGCTGGTGGCTAATGCTTCTGCTGCATCTGCTGGTTTCTTTGGTCTTTAAAGAAGATTTGAGGAAAGGCACTGCCTGGCTGCAGTCATGCGAAGTCAGATTTCTTCAGGGCACCTGAAAACTTCTTATCATTATAAATATAAATATCTAAGGGACAGAAGCCAGGTGGATGGGGTCAGGCTCTTTTGGTGGTGCCTAGGAATTGGACAAGGGGCAACAGGCATAAACTGGAACATGGGAACTCGAGAAAGAAATTCATAGAATCATAGAATGGCCTGGGTTGAAAAGACCACAATGATCATCTAGTTTCAACCCCCCTGCTATGTGCAGGGTCGCCAACCACCAGACCAGGCTGCCCAGAGCCACATCCAGCCTGGCTTTGCATGCCTCCAGGGATGGGGCATCCACAACCTCCTTGGGCAACCTGTTCCAGTTCTTCACCACCCTCTGTGTGAAATTCCTTACTCTGTGGGTGACAGAGCACTGGAACAAGGTCATGGAATCTCCTCTGGAGATATTCAGAACCTACCTGGACACTTTCCTGTGCAACTTACTGTAGGGAACCTGATTTAGCGGATGATCCCCAGAGGTCCCTTCCATCCCCTACAATTCTGTGATTCTGTGACCTGAGGTAATGAGGCATGAGGGTCCTCTGTAGCAAAAAGAAAATCAGACTTTGGTGGGTATGCTTGTATTACTGTTTTCTTTGGTACCTGGCACTTGGAAGCCTGATACGAGTTATTTTGATCCATTTCTGCAGCTGGAGTGCAAGCTGCCTTTCTCTTACAAGAGATTCTATTTGCTGGGATCTGAGCAACACTGGCAGCACACTGTGACTGACTTCCCCCAGCCAAGTCAGCTGGAGCCCTGCTATTGATTCCTGCAGAATTTTGTGAGTTCCCTGCATGCTTGTTAAAGGTAGATATCTCTATATTTTTTAATATGCAGCAATAATCTGAGTTTCATACGGTGGGTTTTTGCCACTTTGTCTCAAAATATCTTCAATGTAAGCAGTTAACACAGCTGATGCAAAGATGAGACCAGTGAAAAGAGCCCACAAGATCAGTTCAGCACTGAGTTGTATCTGTTTCCTTCTCATTTTCTGGTCACATACTGTACCAGAGCTGATGGAAAATTATCAGATATTTGCATTTCTCCACACATTGAGGCTGCACAGAAGTTTAATGCAAAAGCATCCTGTGCCTGGAGTGCAAAGAGCTTTGCTTCACCTTTGCAAGCTCACTCTAAGAAAGCAAACTCAGATGTCACTTCTGTGCATTGCAGGTTGTAGGGCAGCCAGATTTCCTCTTTTCCAGCACCATGCATTAAAATACACCTGTACCATCCCAGCACGATGTGAAGTTACACCATTATTTGGTATTTACCATTTTACCATTTATAGTATAGTATTTACCATTTATTGTTCCTTATATTCTCTATTTGCAAAGTGACTGAAGCTTAGGAGAACCTTAGATAGCTAGATAGTTCTTAGAACCTCAGGAGAAAAGGTGATGGAATGGATGCTTTGCAATGTTAAAGAGTCTTTCCACATAACATGGTTGCTTATTTCAAAGAAATAAGATCCCAGCACCAAGTAGGCTGTGGAAATCATGTTAGGAAGGTAAGGCTATAAATTCATTGTTTAAGTGAATGGAAACTGCTGAACACAAGCCTAAGTGTCTTCAGGAAGTTGAATCTAAGAGAAGAATTATTTATACTAAAAAAAAAAAAGTAACAGAGCCCAAAAGTCAGCATTTTTAAGGGTGATTTCCAGTGAATTTTTCTGTTCTGTCTTTATGATGTTAAAAGGAACTGAAAAGCTGTTTGGAAAGGAAGGGAAAAGCTTTGATTTTTTTCCTCAGTGTGCATGCATACCTAGAAATCTCAAGGCAGTCCATACTTGTTATTTCTGACACTATCTGGGACTTTTCTGGCTTAGTCAGGCTCTTTTCTTTCTTCAGAGCAGTAAATTGCTTGTAATAGTTCAGCAGCAGCAGCTGGAAGGGGCCTCTCCCATCTACCCATCCCTCAAGGTAAGGATGGATGGGGCTCTGAGCACCTGATGGAGCTGTGGGTGTCCCTGTTCATTGCAGAGAGGTTGGACATGATGGCCTTTAATGGTCCCTTCCAACTCAAACGATTCTATGATCCTATGACTCAAGACACTGTGCTGTGACAAGTGCTCTGACACTTTCTTCTTGCATACACCAGGTTTCTGGGATGGCTGAACCCTCCTCAGCCACATCCATGCTTCATATATATCTGTTCATTGCTGCCAGCTCCCTGTATGGACTCTGTACATGCAAGGGTTTCTCCCATGGCAGGTTCCCCATGGTGTTCTTATGGAGCTACATGCTGCTGGCAGAGATATGTTCCCTGTTGCCTCCTAAGGCTGACATTATTGGAGGGATTGCCTTGCAGAAAAGTCACAGAGACATCTGAGGTCTTTGTGCAAAAGGAGCTGTTGAGAAAGTCTGAGAAATGGAACACAAGGGGAACAACTCCATGTGCCTGCTCTGCAACCACTTCTCCACTACATGGAGCTGCTGAAGTTTGGATTTTCAGCTCAGGGAATTGTTTGCTTTAGATAAGAGCTAGCATACCCACTGTATTTCCAACCATACAGATGCACAAGGGAGTTCCTAGTGTAGTGGAACACCGAGATGATGCAAATTGCCCTTCTTGGTAAATAAATAAGAACATTTCCTTTCAAGCAAAGCACTTGCATCCTCAGCGTTCATATGTGATCAGAGAGGTTCACAATGCATCACGCTCAGGAGAAAATCCAGGACAGGAAGCCCTATGCCCAATGAAATCCACAGATCTGTTGTCTCCATGCCCTTTTCCTCCCACTTCTCCTCCATCCTTTTCCTGTGACACTTAAACTCCAGCTCCTGCACATGCTAATTGGTAAATCAAACCATTTGTAGGTTACTATTTTCAGTGTTATCTCTGCCCTGCAAAATGCCTGCTGCATTTCTCCAAGGTGCCCCTCAGCAGTGAAGTCCCAACACATCTGTGCCAGGGGAGCCTGCGAGTGCAGGTCAGCTCAGGAGCAATTTCCCTGACATGCTTCCTAAAAGCCACTCACCATCAGAGTCCATAGAACAGCCCTCTGAGCTGGTCTGATGAGGTCTTTGCCATAGATAGCCTGCAGGGAGGCTCCCTGAGCACACAAGGAAAAGGTGATAAAGTGTCTATAATTTGCCAAGCCTTGATGCAAATCAGCAACAGGAGGGAAAATCCACTGGGATATACAGCTGAGGTCTTTGAGTCGCTGATCCCAGATCCCTTCTGCGTGTCCTTGGGCTGTTCACCTCCCTGGAGTTTTCAAACCAGTAGACAAGTTTGATGATACCAATTTCATGGTTGAAATATAGCTTCTCTATAACCTAAGATATATCAGACAAATATAAAAGGACCACAGAGGAGCTTTGGGTAGCCACATGAAAACGTCCAGCCTCCTCATAAACCATTCCCTTGAGTGGTACTCACATACTGCAGGTTCATCATTTGACTCTTTCTTAGATGCCTTCCAAGGAGAAACAAAACAAACACACACAAAAAAAGAGGAACACAGATTTGAAATTACAACACAGTGTATAGAAGGTGCAAAAGCAGCTTGAATTTCTCTATATTTACACCACAGGATAAACTTGGTTGCTCAGATCAGACCGTGTCATAGACATTCAATTGATTCTTCCCTCTGTCTGCCAGGGCTGAGCAGAATTCAGGCGCTGCTTCTCTGACTTTGTAAAAAAAAATCAGAAATGCCTATGCTTTGAGCCACTTTTGCAGCACAACACAGACAGCAGTAACCTTTTTCACCCTGGGGGTGTTATCATTTCTTAGAATAAGAAGGTGTTTAATCAAAACAACAAGAAAAAAACAACCCAAACGTATCTGTCAGAGGGCTCCAGCCCATCTGCAAGCACAGCAGCAGCACCAACATCATGCTCAGCAGTTCGGGCTGCAGTCCCCACTTGCTATCTACATCTATTTATAGTTTTCAGCTGCCTTCTTTTTTTTTTTCCTTTTCTTTTTTTTATGGCACTTCAAACCATAGGAAATAATGACGTGGGTGGGTTGTAAGGTCTGGGAATGTGCAGCCAAACCCATTCTTGCTGCAGCACATTCACTGACTTCAGCTTAGGCTGCAGTAGTGTCTCCTTGTGAGGCTGCTGTACCTACTGTACTACCTACTGTAAGGTAGTAGTGCATCTTATCTCCTCCTGAGGACCCCACAGACACACAGAGACCTCTTTACTCTGACTGTACGAAAGGCAAACCTCTTATTTCCCTGGAAAAGTAAGTAAAGCCAAAAGTAAAGCTAAAGGTCTCCAAAACGCATTGCGTGACAATTAACTGCACACTGCCAGGGAGTTTTGCCATGGCATACATTAATCCCAGTGCCTGCAGATGTAGGACTGCCAAACCAAACAGGGCTTTGCTGTTCAGGGTGAGACTTTTGCTTGAGGAGGTCATGATCAGGCACAGGACTTACAGATTTCCACCCCCCAGGCATACATTGCCACATCAGTGCAGGCTGAGGAAGGGCAGATTTCTACAATTTGCAGAAGTAGGTGAGTCAGAATCAGTAGAGCTTTAAAGTACAGGTGTGGGATGCAGGCATTTATGCAGATTGACAAAGCAAAAGCAATTCGTCAATGTCATCCCACCTTATGGCAGCACTGCACACATCACGCTTAGAAAAAAAAATCAGTGCATTAGAAATCTCAGCAGCTGACACTTCTGTGTTTCATATCCATCAGCACTAAAGGAGGGTTTCTGTGTGCATGTGCCTAAGAAACCAGAAAAGGCACACCACTTCTTTTGCCACTTATCTGGCCTGATTGACAAGGTGGAGTGGAGCTGCCCTGCCCATCCCACAGTATCTTGCTTGAGGGATCTTACGTGTGATCAATCTTGATATCAGGCGCAAAAAAATTTGCATTCCTGGGTTTTGTTCCTGTGACAGGTTGTGATGCCCAGTGGCATCACAGCCATTGTCACGTCCAAACTGCATTCAGATCTGGAGCTGCTAAGGCTCTTCATTAGGTACAATAGGTGTGTCATATCTGTGCAGAGAGACTTGTTCACTGAGACATCTCCACCTTGTGCTTGGTCAGAGAGACACAGAGCTCAGCAGCTCTCTGTGCTTCTGAGCCTCACTTTGGCCGTTGCTATCCTGGAGTGGTTCATGGGGAGGTAGAACAGAGAGGGAATCTGAGGTCTTCTTCATTCCTAGGTTCTTGCTATTTTTAATTTAGGTCATGATGAGGGGAAGATAACACTAACAATGCGCATTTTCATCTGCAGTGGAACAGAGAAATGTCAAATATTCTACCAGAAACTACTCAGGAGTTTCTGAACGAAAATGGGGAGAGAATAACTCAGCCTGAAAGTCCTTCAAAGACACTGAACCTCACCAGTCTCACGTAGCTATTTCTGTTTTCTGATCAATGATGCACAATCGTTTTCTCTAATGTAGTACTGCAAAACTCTCAAGAAAGTTCTATGCTACGCAGCAGTGAGCTAACAAAGGCTGGACTCTTTTCCTATACTTTGGATAGCCTTGGTACACCAATAGGAAGATGATATGAAGACACCTTATATGAAGTTCAACCTGTGTAAACATTGTGCCTGTCTTAATAGCACCCAGGAATTAAAAGGCAGAAAGAAATAAGCTCAAAGTGACCTATCTAAACTCACCAAAGTGCAAAGAAATGTTTCCATTTACTTCAGTTGAATTTAGATGGAGGCCAGAGGGTTTCTGCTTTCTGCTATAAATGGTTCTTTATCAGATCTTTATTCTGCCTGAACACGACAGCAGTACAATACATCTGAGGCCAAAATTTATATTGCTGTACTGCTTGTGTTATCTCTGTGGAACACAGACTAAACTTACTTGAAATGTTTGGTTTGTTTTTGCCACCCATGTCTCTGTTCTCATCTCCAGTCACTGAAGATCATGTCAAAAGCTTTTGAAAGTATCTTGAATGTGAAATCTTGACATCTGACCTCAACTTGCTAGGGCAATAATTGTGGGTAATGTTGATTTGGGCCATACATGAAGAAGCAGTGATTCTAAGTAGTAATGTTTTTTAAGTCCATATGGAATATTTAAGAGCACAGAGAGGTGTTGTCTTCCATTTCTCTATGGAGAACCACACAACTTTCATTGTGTCACCAAAATATCTTGCTGGCAAATGCGTATGTGTTTTTATTTGGATATCCTCACATCTATGTCAGGGGGAGTCAGTAAGCATCTGGTGGCATAATCCTTTCTAGCATCACTGGAAACAGAATAGCTTTTTCTTCATATCACCACCCTCTTCTGTTGGGCTTCTCATCCAATTAAATACCTAACTTTTTTCGTACGTATACAGCTGAATGGACTTGTGACACCCAGGATATGTGTTATCTCCACCATACATATAGGAAATGAGAGCCTATTGCAGTTAGCCTGTTTCTCTGCCAGAGCCTGAGAGCCCAACACTGTAGTGTCCATGGCATGTTGGGTATACACCAAGGACAGGGTCCAAGAAATGATGTTCCTGGTCACAAATGAAGCCTAGCAGTTACAAGAGCTAAACCTACATTTTCCCACCACTGTACAAATGGCTGAATTTGAAAGAAATTAATTCCTTTGTTAAGGAATTAATGTTTGTTTTGTGTAAAATTTGTTTGTTTTCTCCTAGCTCCTCTCCTGACTGCATGGGTCGGTCTCTGCTTCCTTCATTAGCCATCAGCTCTTCATGACACAGCCACACGTTCCCAGCAGAGTCCAAGGTTACCTGACATAACAAGGATGTATTAAATGGAGGTTGGAGCCAAAGAGCAACAGCTCAAACACCTCCAAAGAAGGCTGTGCTGCCTCATTCGTCACAGCAGGGCAGGAAGTTGTGCCCTTCTCACAGACTCCCTGCTAAAATGCAGCTGTGGTTTCTGAGCTGCTAGCTGGTAAAAAGCAGCAGCCATGCAGAGCAGATCTTGTGCATGCAAGAGCCCCTGGTGGAAGGGCAGCAGTGTGTGTGGGCACTGCTTTGTGTCTGAAGGCAATGCAGAAGACATCTAATGGAACAGACTGCTTCAGAGGACTTTTTGAAACCTCTGAATTTGCAGCAGTGTTGTAGAAACTCCCATAATCTGTGTGCTCTGATCAGTAGAAATGTCACAGCCCTCAGTCCGGGGGCTGTGCTGACACAGACCCACAAGCACCATGCTATTTATTCCTCTAACTTCCCACCAATGCCACATTTTTCTGTCCTGACCTTTTGTATTTTCCCCTTTCTGAGTGTCCTCTACTTACAGTAAGTAGTAAATATATTCTTCTACCTCTTGTCTTTCAGGATATTTTCAGGAGCAGAACTTCCCAATGCAGTTACTGTAGACGCCTCTTTACAACGACCTCAAGTAATGACAGAACCAAGACTCTAAAGGCTAGGGGATTCCACTCACTCTCCCGTCTGTAACCATGCACCTAGCTACAAGTGACACTTGCACCCTGATGAAGTCGTCAGCAGTGTACTTTCTTTAAGCCCATGACTCTTATGACTACGCAGTATCGTAGGCAACTTCCTGAAGTCCCTACAGAGCAGCCTGTGAGTACGGCTCGGGTCAGAGCGCCTTACCATCTTCTCTGTGAAAGCCAGGAACAGAAAAGAAGTAAGTGATTGCTGGCACTGCGACAAGGTTTCTGCTCAGCAGTGTTTTGCTTTCTTTGCTTTGTTGCTGCTTCTCCATACTGTGCATTTGTGTTTCAGAGATGTAGACTTCATTGATGTTTCACAGCCCAAAACTCCATGCGATTGATATGATAAAGTGCTGTTGGGTTTTTGTATCAGAGTTCACTGCAGTTATGGAGTCTTTGCTACCTGTTATCCTTACAGATTTCCTTTCCTAAACAAAACACAGTCCTTTCGTACAAAAAGAATTAGTTCCAATCAGAAATAAGTGATAAGTAACACTGAAATATTGTGGTAGGATCCAGGCTGCTGGGATTTGATTTGGTCACTGCAGTGCATGAGGCATACATTCTGAATTACTTTAGAAATGCCAATAGCACCATCGTCATTGCTGGGCTTCTTTTGGTAGACCATAATGAGAATTCACACCCAGACCTTCCACTCATTCTTTCACAGACAGAAAAGCAAGACAGGCACAGATTCTGAAGTCAGGGTGGATCTTTCCTATGCCAAATTGCATTTAGCAAAGGGTAAGCATCCTAAAAGAGCCATGCTAGATCAAACTGAAGTTTGTTTCCCAGATTTAGTTTCTCATAGGATCTTCTTGGTTGCTTTTCATCTCTCTGGTAACTCTCCCCAGGTATTCTTTTCCTTTATGTTGCAAGAGAAAACACCGCAAGTTATGGATACTGGCTCTCACGGAAGTTTTGATGTAAAGCTTGATACTCTGCCAAAGACCAATGTGCATGTAGACTCAGTTTTAACCTATTTTTCCTGTGATCCTATTTAGACCAGACACCACATCCACACAAGCAGTTCCTCAGCTTCCAATAACTTCATCTGAAGAAAAAAAAGACCCTTTTCCTGCTCTTTCACAGCTCATAGGCAAGGCTTGTTTTCTACTGAGGACTTTTCCATAGTCTGTGCAAATGACACTACATTTAAACAAATAGAGTATGAATTGAGCACCTCTTCTGTGGAGGTTTCTGCCTGAAACTGCAGATGACTCTTTCAGGTTCTGCATTTTCCACGCCTCTTAGGGGGATGCTGAATTTAGAGCCTCATCATGAGCACACAGGTAGCGTTGGGCAGTGTTTCAGCTCTCTCTGGCTGCAGTGATGAAACTCAGCCATGATTTGTGGGGATCATGTTAGCAGTTGTGGTGCCGGTGCAGCACAGCATGGCTGGAGTGACAGCTGCAGCAGCATGAGGACAAATTTCTGTGGCTGATGTTCATGACTGCCTGAGCTCAGACAAGCTCCAGTTTTGTTTGCCTTGTCTTGATACTCTTTGTGTTTTCAGTGTGTTACGGGATGTAGTTAGCTAAAGCAATGAGCAGTTCTGTGCTGAAACTAATACATGTTGTTGTTCCATTCCCACCTGACTTAAGCCCTTTTCCTTCCCTGTGCAGACTTGGTAACCTATCCAAAAGCATCTGAATATCTCCACATTGCCCCTGTCTCTAAGGTTCCTGTGGTTGCATTTAGCAGATTGGACACCTCCTCGTGTCCCTCTATCACATGTTACTGCCTCCTCCATGAATGTGCCTCACTATATGAAAAATCACTGCTTTAAATCAACTTTGGGGACTGTGTACATAAGGGACACTATTTTTCTTAACAATGTCTCCTGTGCTGGAAATATATCAAAGCATTGGAGGAGGAAGTAGTCAAGGATCTCATCATTTTGGCAGAAATACTGTCATCTTTACAGATGCCTTCTATAAAGCACACCAGGTTTGATAGAATCTTATCCAATTTCATGAATTATGACCATTTTTATAGCAGGGTATGCAGTGCAGATACGCGTTATCAGACACACCTAAGGTTCAACCATTGTTGATGTCTTTCGGTGGAGCAGAACATATGGCAAAAATATTCTCCAGGAACCAAATATCACACAGTGGACCTGAAGTCCATAAACACAGAGCATTCAGTATTGAGTCTCACATGTGGAAAGTAAAGTGGGTTATATTATTGCATAGGCCAGTAGGGTCTTACGGGAGTGACGAGGATGAAGAGAAGTGGGAAATTCAGAACATGATTTATTGGAAAAAATGCATGATTTCCCTATCCATAAAAAGGGACACTGTGGGGAATATTTAGTGGCAGGTGTTTTCACATGCATTCTAGTGTAAAGTCTACGGGTCCCAGCCCTCAGATGAGATGCACAAGGGTTTAGCCATTAACGAGATGTACAAAGGGTTGGAAGAGGTGGCAGCTGAGGATATGGACAAAACACAGTAGGAAATTTAGTAGAGAGAAGAATGAGCTCACGAACACGTCAAAGATGCACACGGATGCAGTGAGAAATTTTTGAGCGTGACAGTTTTGGTGCTATAACTAAAGTCTTAAGAGGAAAACCCTGCAACTGGTAGATGAGCAAGCTGTACAGGAGACGACTCATTTGGCAAAAAAGGGAAATCAGCAGTTCTCCAACTAGTTGAGAGTGGACCATAGAACAAGAAGGAACAAAGAAAATGAGTTTCAAGGTAAATGGAAAAGGAGGAAATATTGGTGACTGAGCTCTGAGTACCATTTTTAAGTCTTCTGTTAAAAATAGCATTGTTTCAAGAATAGAAAGCACTGTGGTTTTCATGTAGCTTTGCAAATCCCACCTGCTGAGACACATTCGCTTCAGCTTAAGTAAAAAACTTTTGAGCAGAAACTAGCTAGAATTCCCAGAGACAAGCAATTTGTCAGTGTCCCCAGATCTGGGAGGTCACAAAATTATTCTGGGCTCTTTTTAATCTAGTTTTCCCCTTTAGCCTCTTTTACCAGCAGCACAAGTGGTTCCTGTGCAGACCCACAAGGGCAGGGCCAAGATCACTAAATCCCCCACAGCATCATGAGGTTGTAAGCTGAACAGTCTATGTGTTCTCCTACAGAGATCAGTCATACTACCTACTCATTCTTTTTAGCACTACCTTGCTGTGATCAGAGTGGAGAATTTCAGAGAGATGAAAGGGACAGACATTTATGGGATACAGGGACAACCTATGACAATGGAGATGTCAGTGCAGAAAGAGGGGAAGCTTGTGCATTTATGAGTTTGAGCAGGAGATGTCTTTGGTTGTGAATTAGTATTCCCTGCATGTATCACTGCCTGGTGGCAGTGGCCAGTCAGCATCCTCTGGCTTCCCTGGGAGCTTGAATGACAGAGGAGGTACAAGTTACCAGCTGGACTCCTGGGTCAGCAGTGGATTGCAAATCACTGATTAACATGGGACAGAGGTGTGGAAAGCAACAGCAAGTTGGTGAAAGGCAAGTGCAAACCATGGCAATGCACAGATCATATTTAAAGAAAAACAGACCCAGGTGATGACAGGCTGGCAGGATCTGACCTGATCTGCAATGGAGAACAGAGCCTGGCCAGGGCTCAGTGTTGAGAGGCCAACAGCACAGAAGATGGGTGTCAGCTACAGGCTACCACAAGCCATAGGCATGGCAATGGAGGTGCTGGCAGGAGTCTTCTGCATTCAAGCCTAGATAACTGAGGCTCAGAAGAAAGAGGAAAGCATCCATAAGTACTGAGATCCTAAGATAAGAAGGTGACAGTGCAGTGGGATACTTGTCATCATTCTTGCATCACCTCTTGGATACCCACCCAAGAAATGGGAAAGAGGCCCAGTATGTAAGCAAAGAGCATTGAAAAGCTAGGAGGAGAGAGCAAAGATTATTGTGCTGAGGTTTGGAAAATGGACCTCATGAACCATCTGGGCCTCAAAGCAGAACAGCACAATAGAAAGCTTAAGCATGAGGATTGAAGGCAGCCTGTAGCAGTCACAACGGCCTCGCATGGCCACAACACCATCAGTGCCAACTCCTTGGTAAACCAGCCTGTTTTTTTAAGAACCCAGAGCAGTATTCATCTTTGTATAAGACCTCAGTGTCTTGAAGGCACCTTGCTGCTCTGAGCAACCAGGAGCTCTTGAGGGGGTTCTAAATAAGCTGCACATGGGAATCCCCTCTCAATTCTTCCAAGATTTGATAATTTCAGCATGAAGTAGCAAGGAGGTGTTACCTGTTCAATTTTTACATGAGCCTCTCAAGTAAGGGAAGCCTTATTTGAATAGCCTCTGCCACCAAGGCTATGTGTTAGATCTGTTCTATCTTCATAGAGACATCAGGCACAAATGCCTGCTGGTTTCTTATCGGAGGAAGGTGTGAATCAAAAGTACAAAACTTGCAGTTTTGGGGTTGTTCTCAGTTGTTCACTTTCACTACATCTGCTCCACAACCTTGAAACTTCCTTCAACCTTTTGACCTGACTGGCTTTGTAGTTCATCCTCAAATTTAGAACAGCATTTCTGGGGTTCTGATGGCTCTCCAAACAGAATTCCTCTGCCTGTGGTACATTTTCTAGATAATCTAATAGGTGTTGTAGAGTAAATCTGTCCTGCAATAGCCATTCTCTGATGCTCTCAAAGAGGACTTTTCTCAGTCACTGGTTATGAAGTTCCCAAAATCATTAATCACGACCTCAGATTTAAGACTGGGAAGAAAACTCGACCGGTATGGGGGAAGTGAAGGTCTGTTTTTCAGCTTCCCCTATCAACCCAGCCACCCATCACCTCATGTGAAGTGCACATGGTTTTACCTACTGCCTTGAATGAAGTGGCTTTAAACCCTGTAGCTGGAGCTTTCATTTGCATGTCTATCTGCCTGACATTGTTCTTTCATCTACGGTCCCTCACCAGGCAATGTAATACAAGCCCAGGATGCCCTGTTTATGGAAGGATCACAATTGCAAGCCAGGTCCTTCATCCACTTGAATTGTGGGACTGTTTCACTCCATTGTCCCCACAACAGTTTATTTTGGCAAAATAGTACACATAAGGAAGTAGATATGTGAGTATATGTAAATGCCTCCACATACGTATTTAAAACACCTAGTTGCTGAGAGTTCACATCTAAGAACAGTGTATATGAAGTAAATCAAACATCTTCCTCTCACTAGAAAGGAGCAGTTAGTCCTTTT